GGAATACCGATTAAGATGAACATTTTATGTAAAGAATACTAAAAACATCAAATTTTATATGTCCTCCCACTGGGGTTACAAATATAATGAAAAGTCAAAAATTTGACAAATTTACCTTCTAGAAACAGTTAAAAAAAAGAAAACATCCTTAACCGCAACAAATCGTTGACCAGTCAGAACGTCTTTTAAATACGAAGTTCTTAACCGAGAAAGCACCAAACAGCGGTCCATGTTACCATTTCAGGAACGAATGAGCGAAATGAGTCACAAACAACATCAGTCTTGAAATTCCGTGAAAATAATCAATGTCCATTACGTGGCGTTGCAGTTGGATTTAGCGACACTTTATTCGAGCAATTTGTTTCCCTTGTGCAGCCGTTTTACTGCAAAATTTCTTTCATTTGGATAGTCGTATTACGAAGGCAAGTAGACGCTTAAACTGTGTTCTTCAGTTGCATAATGTATTTGCACAAATATTTCTGCCCAGTATTAATTGCTTTTGATGTTTTTGTTTAACTTTAATCAATTAACACATTTGAATGCGTTATTTAGCCACTGTTTAGCAATCCTATTGAGATGAAATACTCTGGGGACGTTAGGATGAATCACTTCTATTCGTGATTAAGCATTAAATAAAATCCTCAGAATTACTAGCGTAAGTTTCTTTAAGTGACAATTTGTAAGTAGAACTATGAGTGTAAATTTGTGATAAAAAAGCCCATTTAACTAAACATTATAGTGGTCCAATTTAGGTTTAAATAAACTCAGACGACATGCTGATTCACCATATCCTCGGGTAATTGATTCCAAATAAATTCGCTCCTATAACCAAAAGGTTTTTGGCCATAATTGATTTTGTGGTATCGTAGGAGGTCCTCAATTTCAAAAATTCTTGTTAAAGGCATTCAGGTGCCAAAGTGTTGTACACCCTGATCATTTCTATAACAAGGAGCTTAATAGACCTCTTTCATAATCGCGGCTTATTAATATAATGCTTTATATGTATGTTAATTATCCTTTCTGACCTCGTTAACATGTGCAAAATAGAAAAGAACACTTACTTTCAAACGAGGTCAGAAAAGCTAAATACCATACAAGAAAAAAATTACTTACATGTATATAGGCCGCCATCATGGATGTCTGTCTACTGGATATTTGGAACACCTGTCCCACCCTAGCTTTTGCAAAGGCGGGGCGGTGCTAGAAATATAACCGGCGGAAAATTTATGATCATAGCTGGTTTTGGAGTTTTTTGAAGCTTCAGAGCCGGTTCTGACCCCCGGCCCCTCCCAAACAACGCTGCAATAATCAAAGTAGGTCTGGATCAAAGAGTACTATGCTATTTGAAAGTGTTTGTTTCCAACGACAATCTATCGCGAAAAAGGAACCACAAACGTGCGGTTGTGATATTTTTAAAGGTCCCTGTTTTCGTCACGTTTACGGCCAACGGCAAACGTCAATTTATACCCCGCCACCATACTTTTCCTTTAACTGCCGTTTAGTGTCCATTTTGACTACATGACATAAAAATAAAAGTAGTTTCACGAAAGGTTCAACTTAAACAATGAAAATTGTTTTGCACAGGTTTAAACGTGCAAAGAAACATCAGAAGATGTCTTTGGTACCCACCCTAGATCAGTAAAGGGATCAAAACGGAAGTCTCTGTCTAAGAATAGGGAAGGCAGAAAATCTCCGGAACTTAGAGGTTGCATTGTGGAAAAGGGAAATTAGTGATTAGAAGTGGGGATGCTGAGGTAGCTCTGCTCCTAGTAAAAAGTAAAGGGAAAAAGCAGGGGGTGGGCTTTAACACCTCAGGCGTCCCAGTTCCCTGAATAACTGATAAAAATTCTGAAAAATCGCGGAGATCCATCTTTGTTTGAGGAACCAAAATGTAGGTACCGTTCAAGTCAGGAATGACATCATGTTTAGCCACTACAAAAGAGCCGCAGGCGATTTCCGGCCTACGACTAACGCCATATCGTTTTTACGTAAAGGTCCTTCTAAAACGAGGACTGAGCATAAAAAATTACCCAAGCACGTTTTTTTTTCTATGAGGAATTTCCGCACCCTTTGATCATAATTACGTACAGCCATGTACATGTACGTAGTATAATCATATTAATTCTCAAAACCAAAATGGCATCTTGAAATGACGTTTATGTATAATCTTGCTTACCATTTTAATAAATGTTCTTTAAAGTTGGATGCGCACGTGTCAACCACTGAGCGTCTTCATTTGGACTGTTTTGTTAGCCGTTTTCCCTGTTTATGACCTCAAACCACGCCGTTTAACGTCAATAGGGAGATTAAGGAGGCTCGCACCCATTTTTAAAGGTCTCACCCTTTTGTGTTTGATGCTTCATAACTTTGGCTGTGATGCATGTACGGAATAGCCATCTGAGTTTGCCTCATTAGTCTCATTGACTGAATTATGCTCATTCTGGTGTGGTTTGAAAGCTATCTTCCACCTGCACACGTTAGATGACAAAATTTTCCTCGGTCTTGAAATTGATGACGTCACAAGCGATACAAGGGACATGGATCCACTCGGGCGGTTACGGGCGGTTCAGGGCTGAATGGGTATAATAATGGGTGTGAAATTAATAAACACTCAATGACTGGTCCCTGAGGAAACAGCTAATTTTGTTTCCCGAGATCAGAGGGGCTAGTCTTTAAGTGATTTGTTATATAGCCCTCGAAGAAAAACTTTTTCGTGTACAAATTTATGAAAATAAATCTCGCGAGCGGTCAACATTCGCGGGTAACAGTACACTGTTACCCTCTGACGTCATACATTTTCCAGTGGTGCTCTCTCAGAGATTTTGGCGAGAAACATTTTCATTGTTAGATGTCATATGACCTCGAAGTAACCAATGAGAGCGTGCGCTGTTGCAAAAAAATTCCAGAATAATAAACAAGAAAAAAAAAGCGAAAGAAGCGAAAAACTACACTAGCATTAAGAGAAATAAAGTGTGCTTATAACGAGAAAAATGGCTTAAGTTTAGAATTGAACAAAGCAATACTAGAGGCATTCAGAATTTCAGAGCTAAGGGAGTTAAACATTTTAGGTCCTTAAAAAGGAATTGAAAAGTTCCTTACATTTGTCCTGCAGTAGGGTAAACGTAATATACGTCGCACTTGAGCAAAAACATGTCATTGAAACTATTAGGAAGTAGGCCGTCACCGTGTAAAGATACATAACTTTACCTCTTTGGAGTTTGATAATATCATCAAATTTTAGAATTCGTAAGCTCAAAAAATAAAATTGGCTTGTGCATCAAAAGAACTACATTTATATACCACCTCTGGTAGAAAAGGTACCCCTTTCGTATACCTTTGACAGACAAAAAGGACTCCTTTCGCATACCTTGTTTAAAAAGCTGCATCCCAATTAACTGTTTTAACTTAGCATGAATAAATTATTAAACCAGAAATTTCACTTTCACAGCCATTGAAAGCATCTGTTAGCCATTTTAAGTCCTTTGACAGACCGAAATGATAGATTTGCCTACCCTTTCATATACCTTTCATGTTGCACAGCTGAAGCTCCTTCTACTTGTCTCGAGAAATTTCCGTTTCTAAGGTCATCCAACGCGAAAAATGAATCCAAGCGCTATACAAGAGAAGGATTGAATTGATGGTGTCCAAAACCCACAAAGGAGACGTCCAGTCAACATTTAACATTCCTTTGAATTGTAGGCAAATTTGTGTTAAAGGAGAAGGAAAAACTTCACCTTTGTAGAGGAAAGCTTTCACAAGGCAACGCAATCCACTCCACTAAAAACAACTTTTCCTAAACTTTTCTGGATATGGAGATTTACTGGTATAATTATATATCTCGCGTCTAAACAAGAAATGTTGTCTTTTCGGAAGTAACTTATCATACCTTGAATCAATTTTGTCATGCAGCTTTTTATTTCTATTTTTTTTTTAGCAGATTTTCCTCGCCAACCTTCGTCTAGTTTTTGGTTATAGTTTGGTCTTTGGAGGCATTTTGATGCTATTTTCGCCGATACTTAAAACCGACCGTTCACAATTTTGTTTTCTTGCTGCTATCAATTATTGGATTATGTTTCCCTTTCAAACTTATTTATTTCTCTTGTTTATTAATTAATAATGATGTTGTGTTACCATCAAGATACAAACCGACTCATGATCAACTCGCACATGAAAAACTTTCCTAGACCAAAACGGAAGAAACCCCAAAAAGAATTTCGAGAAATGACGAAATTTGGGGGCGCATGGAATAGAGTTTCTCTCCCCCGCGCCGCTAACGGGTTAGGGGGCGGAGACAGCTCCCATTTCAAACCAACGCGCAAAAAACATCCTTAGAATTGACGTTTATGCATTATTATTGAATTGGTAAAAAAAACACTTTATTTGAGTGTCAATGTGTTTAGCACGAAAGTGCTACTCGAAGACACTCTTTTTAATTGTGCTACTGGAGACGGGTGGTACGTGGCCATCCTTGCCACCCGAAGGTCTAGCCGTTTGCAGGGCAAAGGCAGTACTACACCTTCGTTTCTCAGTTATTTTAAGACCACGATTTTCGTCTGGCCCCAAGAAACGAACCCAAGACATCCCCCATTGCACTAGAGGGCTCTACCGACAGATCTAATCTTACCACGGTTTTATTTTCTTCATTATGCCCCACCCAATTAAAACTGCAAGTGCATAAAAGTGACTCCCAACTTACACAAAGAAGTTCAAATTTGTCTTGGTAACTGTGTAAGAACCAAAACAGCACAGACTGGTTATTACACAGTTACCAAGTTGTGTAAGTTAGGAGTCACTTCTATGCACTTGCGGTTTTAATTGTATGGGGCATATTCATGAAGAAAATATTATTGAATCACTATAGGCCACCTGCGTTCCATAAGATATTGATACGATTTACAGAAGCCCTGATGAACATTTCTTTAGCTTTTGTAGGTGACAGAGAATTGTACTCTTCACCTTTTTTCTCTTCTTTTCTTTAATTTTATAGTTAGTTACTGACAATGTTTGGATTGTTGAGAACAGATCAAAGCAGGCACGTTATCATTTTTGTTTTTTACGTTTTCGAGCAGGTGCTTTGAAACAGATTATACATGGGTGTTCCTTCACTGTTCCTTTATATCAATGGCGCGAAGACATTTTCTGTTAAAATTGACCATTAGATTGTTAAAATTGGCTAGAATAGACTTTATATCGAGGCATGTTTTCAGTTAAAATGTGATCAACTATAATAGGGCGAGCTTTGTTGAAACACAATTATGAGCTAAATGCCCTGAAGCAATAATAACAAACAACTTTGCGGTTGGCCGTAATAGGTTTACTGGCCACCAATGTTGTGGCTAGTTTTAATTGAATGTCTAATTCAGTGCTGTCATTGGCTAGAAAAGACTTTGACACGCTGTCATCTGAAATAGGAAAATGTAAAGTGTCTGGTGGTTTTATATGTTACTATCACTTTACAAGTGTATAAATATTCCGGCTTACGAGCCCGTTCAAGAAAACTCACTCTTCTGGACCAAATGACGTCTTAACATTGAAATGTTTTCTCCATTTTTTCGTCGGTTCCTTTTCTTTGTGTTGTCTTCAAAGATACTTGAAGCAGTGTTTGCAGAAGGTTAGTTTGGAATTTCATTTTTGTTCTTTTTCTTCTTCTTTCTTATATTCTCACAAGCAAAGTCGTTTAAAACTAGCTCCTAGACGTCCTAGACCGTAAGTAAAAAAAAGGGAAACATAACACTATTTTTAGAGAATTACAAAGCACAAAGAAAGATCTTTAATTGAAAAAAGATTCGATTATTTTAGCTGAGAGTGTATTCAAGAACAAGTTGAATTAAATTAATTGATGAATTATCCATAGTTTCTGTCTTGACACCCCAATCCACCCTTCAAGTTTGCTAAAAAAACAAGTTTGAAGCCTATTTGTGCTTCCTATCTAGAAATTAAAAAAACAGTATCCAAAACCATTTATCTGGCCACGTGTGGAAAACTAAGCGGCAGGTTCAAAATTTTAGTTTTCTGGTTTTTGGCAAGCGTAGACAAGTTAGTTTTCAAGGATTTACACATATTTTAAATCTTGAGGAAGTACAAATGAGTTGAATATATTTATAATTGAATTTATTACTTGAGTTACTTGAGTTACCCGATTTTTTTGCGGAAATTTTTGGCCTGTTTCGTAGAATAACATTTTTTTGCTATAACAGAATCGCATACAATGCACCACCCAAATCATCTTCAAGATATTTTTGTAAAAGAAGAGTACCACTTTTTAAACGTCCCTGGAATTGGAACGTTTACAGTGTACGACACCTTTGACTGCACCTTTGAATGCCTCAGCAATCCGTCATGTTTGTCTTTGAACCTGGCTGCCTCCAAAGGAGCCGATGGAAAACTTTGGTGCGAATTGTTGACTTCGAATAAAGACATCAACCCAGGCGAGCTCAAAGAAAATAAGACTTCACATCACTTTGCTTTGAAGGTGCGAACAACGTTTTAATTAAATAGACTCTAAATTAATTAATCATCCTGTAGTGTCAAGACTGAAAAACCTGAGCTGATTATGGATCTCAGAATTTTAAGAAACAAATATAAACCTCATTTAGTAAAAAAAGTGACACTTTACAGGCAATTTGAGTGGAGTGAATTAAAGAAACAGTGACTAATTTTGTTTCTACAGGGACAGACGATAGTAGACTATTTCCAGAATGGCAGACATCAATAAAGCGCTCATCTCCTAAAAAAGATGAGTCTCCGCAGCTTAAGCGCTGCGTGACGAGACAAAAACGGCTGTGAGGGAGACTATAGATTGGTGAACTGGTCAGATTTAAACTGCATGAGATTGAAGTTATTAGTAGTGGAAATTGGTGCAAACAAAATGCATAGTCACCTGTTTTGTCTCTTACAGGGTAGATTCCGGCCAACATCCTGCGTCGAATATGGACAACAAAGTGCCTCCAAAGATGGCATTTATAAGATCTATGACGACGGCGGAAACAGTTTCCCAGCCTACTGTGATCTAACATCTGAGGCCGGTATTGCATGGACTCTGGTCATGTCTTGGAGTAGAGAGAATCGCCTTATTTCTGCTTTTTACAACACCGCACTTCAGATCAATGCCCCAGAGAACGAGACCTCCCCGAACTGGGATCGTTACCGCTTAAGTCTGGAGAGAATGAGGTCTTTGCAGGTTCACTCCACCCACTGGCGAGCAACATGCAGCTACCCAACCCACGGCATCGATTTCAGAGACTACCTCCGTGGAAACTTCAAAGACTTCGACATCGTCGATTTCCTTGGTAATGGCGAGTGTAAGAGGGTAGACTATGTGGATATCCGTGGGCACAATGGCACGAACCTTACGGTATCGTTTTGGCAACAGAAATACAGTTACACGTTGCATACTGACAGCCGTTTGGCTGGTTCCTGCAAGTTCGACGCATCCGTTGGAGCAGTATCAGGTGAAGACAACTTTGGCTTCTATGAGGTTATGAATCCCAAGTTCCGCTGCACACAGGCAGGCAACTCTACTACCCAGTGGTGGTTTGGAGCTCATCTTAAAAAATAATTTTCGGAAAATGAAATTACACAGCTCCCATGTCAGAACGAAGGGAGCCTGCAAATTGTACTACCTTTATAAACAGACGAAATGCATTCAGTTTTAGTTTTGTAGATTTAAATTGTTTAAAATGTACAGCCTTAATGGGGTCAAAATGGCAGGTTTGTCTAATAATATTTGAAAAACTCTTGGGGTGGCTCTGAAAAGGTTCGCTTTTTATGTGCGTGAAATAGGAATGGGTAATTAAACGTAAAATGGTCACCTTTTAAAACAGCTTATTGAGCTTTTCTATCTTATAACAGAAATTTACAGGTACGGCGGAGCGCAATTTAAACTCGGGGGGCGGGACTTGAAAACTCATGCCGGCAACGCGAGTTTGTTGGGGGTGGGGAGGGGGGGGGGGGGGGGTCTGGTTGCATCCTCTCCCAGAAACGTTTGAAATCTAGAAGTTCGGAAATGGTATTATCAACATTCTCAATGAGATTTTTCTAAAAGAAAAACTCAACCTGGATAAGTTGCTAAACAAAAACATTTTTCCTCACAAAAGTCGAGGGTCGTATTTCCTGCTACCCTTTGGCCAAGCTGCGCCAGCTTCGCTTTGCCCCCGCTTTGCCGTTAATCATTCATTTCCCAAACCTTGATACAACGGAGCATTAATATGTTAAAGAGATTACAATTGCCTGACTTATTAAAAAAGTAAAGTGTAAACGATGACTCATTATAAGGTAAAAACCAACTGTAAGAGTAAAAACTGATAATTGTAACCATTGTGAAATTATGGAGATTAAGAACTGACTGTGAGGAGAAAGGCAAATTACAAGATTACATGCAGAACTACAGCCCGCATTACCGTGGCACAAGTGAGGCCCACAAGTTTATTAGCTTTTAGCTATTTAGTGTTTTACTAAATAAAGTGTTTACTTGCTCACTTCACATACCTAGTTTAGCAATTTGAATCCCTTTTACCTACTGTTTGTGCAGTATGTTTTAAGTACTGTTAAAAAAAAGCAGCAGTTAACAGGTTTAAATACTTATATAATTTTGGTCTAAAAATTAGACGTAAAGTTTAGCTTTGTCTTTATCGATATAAAAACACTTATTAAACATCGATTTGTCTTTTTCTTTGTGAACTATTAAATAAATGAGTTTTTGAAATAATGAAGACAACCAAACCGGGAATTTTTCGACACTCTCACGGCCAAAAAACCTTTTGTCAGCCTTTTTAGACCCTTTTACAGACCGAAATGACAGATTTTCCTACCCTTTTAGACACTTCAACAAGTGAAATCCCTACCCTTTCATATACCTTTCATATATACCCATCTCGGGCGGAGCCTCCCCGTATAGGCCATTATTGGGAGTACTCCACCGGGTTTAGTGCCCTTTCTTGGGTCCTTTATACTAAACGGGCTTGGAAAACTTTAAACAAAGGAACACAACAGAACAGTAAGCAAGGTGGCTCAAAGTTACGGAGCCAAGCTATTATTTTTCTGAAATGACATTTCTAGGGTAAATTAAGTAGACACTGAACTGTCTCCTTGCCTTACCTCTTTAATCCCTTGTGTTCACATATAAATTCTCCATATATTTCGTGAAAGTATTAGTAGAGAAAATTTGATAAAACATCAAAGCGCTTTCCCTGTTGTGATCATTTTATAAATTCTCATCAACTTTTCTCTTGATGGTGTATGAATGATTCCGGGAGAAAATCGATTTGGTCAGTCTTGGCATGTACCAATAACTGTTTTAATCGTCTCATTCATACATCACATTGTGGCGAGATTATTAACTTTTTAATCTGTTGTTAAAATTCTTTTGTACTTTCATTTCAATGAACAAAAGTTCATTGGTAGAACGTTTGAGAGGGATTATTTAGTTTTAACTATTTTACAAGACGAAATTGTATTTCTTTGGTGTGATTTCTTTTACTTTCACCGGTAAAAAAGAACTGAAAAAGGGGTAATATCTATTCAATTTAGCCAACGAGCAGGCTGTCAAGTTGGGATTTCGCGCTACATTCGTTCCTTGTTGCTCACGCGAGATTTTACAACCCTGCAGGGGTGGGTTGGAAGGGTACACTCTAAGAGCCCCCACGACCTCAACAAGCGATGAGTATTGGCAGGAGAGGATAATTGATGGTTTCCAAAACCCACAAAGGAGACGTCCAGTCAACATTTAACATTCCTTTGAATTGTAGGCAAATTTGTGTTAAAGGAGAAGGAAAAACTTCATCTTTGTAGAGGAAACCTTTCACAAGGCAACGCAATCCACTCCACTAAAAACAACTCTTCCTAAACTTTTCTGGATATGGAGATTTACAGGTATAATTATATATCTCGCGTCTAAACAAGAAATGTTGTCTTTTGGAAAGTGAATAATCATAGCTTGAATCAATTTTGTCATGCAGCTTTTTATTTCTATTTTTTTTAGCAGATTTTCCTCGCCAACCTTCGTCTAGTTTTTCATAGTTTGGTGTTTGGAGGCATTTTGATGCTATTTTCGCCGATACCTAAAACCGACCGTTCACAATTTTGTTTTCTTGCTGCTATCAATTATTGGATTATGTTTCCCTTTCAAACTTATTTATTTCTCTTAGCTTGTTTATTAATTAATAATGATGTTGTTTTACCATCAAGATACAAACCGACTCATGACCAACTCGCACATGAAAAACTTTCCTAGACCAAAAGGGAAGAAACCCCAAAAAGAATTTCGAGAAATGACGACATTTGTTTGTTTTTTTTTGTTTGTTTGTTTGTTTTTTTTTGTCCGCTTAACGAACGGGAAAATAGTCTGAAATGTCAACCTTCTCCACCCCCGTCCGTAACCTATGGGGGGCGCATGGAATAGAGGTTCTCTCCCCCGCGCCGCTAACGGGTTAGGGGGCGGAGACAGCTCCCATTTCAAACCAACGCGCAAAAAACATCCTTAGCATTGACGTTTATGCATTATTATTGAATTGGTAAAAAAAACCACTTTATTTGAGCGTCAATGTGTTTAGCACGAAAGTGCTACTCGAAGACACTCTTTTTAATTGTGCCACTGGAGACGGGTGGTACGTGGCCATCCTTGCCACCCGAAGGTCTAGCCGTTTGCAGGGCAAAGGCAGTACTACACCTTTGTTTCTCAGTTATTTTTAAGACCACGATTTTGGTCTGGCCCCAAGAAACGAACCCAAGACACCCTCCATTGCAGTAAAGGGCTCTACCGACAGATCTAATCTTACCGCGGTTTTATTTTCTTCATTATGCCCCACCCAATTAAAACTGCAAGTGCATAAAAGTGACTCCCAACTTACACAAAGAAGTTCAAATTTGTCTTGGTAACTGTGTAAGAACCAAAACAGCACAGACTGGTTATTACACAGTTACCAAGTTGTGTAAGTTAGGAGTCACTTCTATGCACTTGCGGTTTTAATTGTATGGGGCATATTCATGAAGAAAATATTATTGAATCACTATAGGCCACCTGCGTTCCATAAGATATTGATACGATTTACAGAAGCCCTGATGAACATTTCTTTAGCTTTTGTAGGTGACAGAGAATTGTACTCTTCACCTTTTTTCTCTTCTTTTCTTTAATTTTATAGTTAGTTACTGACAATATTTGGATTTTTGAGAACAGATCAAAGCAGGCACGTTATCATTTTTTGTTTTTTACGTTTTCGAGCAGGTGCTTTGAAACAGATTATACATGGGTGTTCCTTCACTGTTCCTTTATATCAATGGCGGGAAGACATTTTCTGTTAAAATTGACCATTAGATTGTTAAAATTGGCTAGAATAGACTTTATATCGAGGCATGTTTTCGGTTAAAATGTGATCAATTATAATAGGGCGAGCTTTGTTGAAACACAATTATGAGCTAAATGCCCTGAAGCAATAATAACAAACAACTTTGCGGTTGGCCGTAATAAGTCACCAACGTTGTGGCTAGTTTTAATTGAATGTCTAATTCAGTGCTGTCATTGGCTAGAAAAGACTTTGACGCACTGTCATCTGAAATAGGAAAATGTAAAGTGTCTGGTGGTTTTATATGTTACTATCACTTTACAAGTGTATAAATATTCCGGCTTACGAGCCCGTTCAAGAAAACTCACTCTTCTGGACCAAATGACGTCTTAACATTGAAATGTTTTCTCCATTTTTTCGTCGGTTCCTTTTCTTTGTGTTGTCTTCAAAGATACTTGAAGCAGTGTTTGCAGAAGGTTAGTTTGGAATTTCATTTTTGTTCTTTTTCTTCTTCTTTCTTATATTCTCACAAGCAAAGTTGTTTAAAACTAGCTCCTAGACGTCCTAGACCGTAAGTAAAAAAAAAGGGAATTATAACACTATTTTTAGAGAATTACGAAGGACGAAAAAAGATCTTTAATTGAAAAAAGATTCGATTATTTTAGCTAAAAGTGTATTCAACAATAAGTTGAATTAAACTAATTGATGAATTATCCATAGTTCATGTCTTAACACCCCAATCCACCCTTCAAGTTTGCTAAAAAAACAAGTTTGAAGCCTATTTGTGCTTCCTATCTAGAAATTAAAAAAACAGTATCCAAAACCATTTATCTGGCCACGTGTGGAAAACTAAGCGGCAGGTTCAAAATTTTAGTTTTCTGGTTTTTGGCAAGCGTAGACAAGTTAGTTTTCAAGGATTTACACATATTTTAAATCTTGAGGAAGTACAAATGAGTTGAATATATTTATAATTGAATTTATTACTTGAGTTACTTGAGTTACCCGATTTTTTTGCGGAAATTTTTGGCCTGTTTCGTGGAATAACATTTTTTTGCTATAACAGAATCGCATGCAATGCACCACCCAAATCATCTTCAAGATGTTTTTGTAAAAGAAGAGTACCACTTTTTAAACGTCCCTGGAATTGGAACGTTTACAGTGTACGACACCTTTGACTGCACCTTTGAATGCCTCAGCAATCCGTCATGTTTGTCTTTGAACCTGGCTGCCTCCAAAGGAGCCGATGGAAAACTTTGGTGCGAATTGTTGACTTCGAATAAAGACATCAACCCAGGCGAGCTCAAAGAAAATAAGACTTCACGTCACTTTGCTTTGAAGGTGCGAACAACGTTTTAATTAAATAGACTCTAAATTAATTAATTATCCTGTAGTGTCAAGACTGAAAAACCTGAGCTGATTATGGATCTCAGAATTTTAAGAGACAAATATAAACCTCATTTAGTAAAAAAAGTGACACTTTACAGGCAATTTGAGTGGAGTGAATTAAAGAAACAGTGACTAATTTTGTTTCTACAGGGACAGACGATAGTAGACTATTTCCAGAATGGCAGACATCAATAAAGCGCTCATCACCTAAAAAAGATGAGTCTCCGCAGCTTAAGCGCTGCGTGACGAGACAAAAACGGCTGTGAGGGAGACTATAGATTGGTGAACTGGTCAGATTTAAACTGCATGAGATTGAAGTTATTAGTAGTGGAAATTGGTGCAAACAAAATGCATAGTCACCTGTTTTGTCTCTTACAGGGTAGATTCCGGCCAACATCCTGCGTCGAATATGGACAGCAAAGAGCCTCCAAAGATGGCATTTATAAGATCTATGACGACGGCGGAAACAGTTTCCCAGCCTACTGTGATCTAACATCAGAGGCCGGTATTGCATGGACTCTGGTCATGTCTTGGAGTAGAGAGAATCGCCTTATTTCTGCTTTTTACAACACCGCACTTCAGATCAATGCCCCAGAGAACGAGACCTCCCCGAACTGGGATCGTTACCGCTTAAGTCTGGAGAGAATGAGGTCTTTGCAGGTTCACTCCACCCACTGGCGAGCAACATGCAGCTACCCAACCCACGGCATCGATTTCAGAGACTACCTCCGTGGAAACTTCAAAGACTTCGACATCGTCGATTTCCTTGGTAATGGCGAGTGTAAGAGGGTAGACTATGTGGATATCCGTGGGCACAATGGCACGAACCTTACGGTATCGTTTTGGCAACAGAAACACAGTTACACGTTGCATACTGACAGCCGTTTGGCTAGTTCCTGCAAGTTCGACGCATCCCTTGGAGCAGTATCGGGTGAAGACAACTTTGGCTTCTATGAGGTTTTTAATCCCAAGTTCCGCTGCACACAGGCAGGCAACTCTACTACCCAGTGGTGGTTTGGAGCTCATCTTAAAAAATAATTTTCGGAAAATGAAATTACACAGCTCCCATGTAAGAACGAGGGGAGCCTGCAAATTGTACTACCTTTATAAACAGACGAAATGCATTCAGATTTGTGTTTCGTAGATTTAAATTGTTTAAAATGTACAGCCTTAAGATAAGAAACTCTTCTTTTTCGTTGATAAGCAGTGATTTTATAGTTAAATGCAACATTTTTCATTGCTTGATTGACCTCTCTGTGTATAATTGTTAGAGAGTTGTTTTTGGTTTTCATCAATTGACTCATCATTGAATATTAACGGTTAAACATTTCTCACTAAAATGGGGTCAAAATGGCAGGTTTGTCTAATAATATTTGAAAAACTCTTGGGATGGCTCTGAAAAGGTTCGCCTTTTATGTGCGTGAAATAGGAATGGGTAATTAAACGTAAAATGGTCACCTTTTAAAACAGCTTATTGAGCTTTTCTATCTTATAACGGAAATTTACAGGTACGGCGGAGCGCAATTTCAACTCGGGGGGCGGGGATGGGGGGGCTTGAAAACTCATGCCGGCAACGCGAGTTTGTTGGGGTGGGGGGTGGTGGGTCTGGGTGCATCCTCTCCCAGAAACGTTTGAAATCTAGAAGTTCGGAAATGGTATTATCAACATTCTCAATGAGATATTTCTAAAAGAAAAACTCAACCTGGATAAATTGTTAAACAAAAACATTTTTCCTCACAAAAGTCGAGGGTCGTATTACCTGCTACCCTTTGGCCAAGCTGCGCCAGATTCGCTTTGCCCCCGCTTTGCCGTTAATCATTCATTTCCCTGATACAACGGAGCATTAATATGTTAAATAGAATACAATTGCCTGACTGATTAAAAAAGTAAAGTGTAAACGATGACTCATTATAAGGTAAAAACCAACTGTAAGAGTAAAAACTGATAATTGTGACCATTGTGAAATTATGGAGATTAAGAACTGACTGTGAGGAGAAAGGCAAATTACAAGATTACATGCAGAACTACAGCCCGCATTACCGTGGCACAAGTGAGGCCCACAAGTTTATTAGCTTTAAGCTATTTAGTGTTTTACTAAATAAAGTGTTTACTTGCTCACTTCACATACCTAGTTTAGCAATTTGAATCCCTTTTACCTACTGTTTGTGCAGTATGTTTTAAGTACTGTTAAAAAAAAGCAGCAGTTAACAGGTTTAAATACTTATATAATTTTGGTCTAAAAATTAGACGTAAAGTTTAGCTTTGTCTTTATCGATATAAAAACACTCATTAAACATCGACTTCTGTCTTTTTCTTTGTGAACTATTAAATAAATGAGTTTTTGAAATAATGAAGACAACCAAACCGGGAATTTTTCGACACTTTCACAGCCAAAAAACTTTTTGTCAGCCTTTTTAGACCCTTTTACAGACCGAAGTGACAGATTTTCCAACCCTTTTAGACACTTCAACAAGTGAAATCCCTACCCTTTCATATACCTTTCATATAACCATCTCGGGCGGAGCCTCCCCGTATAGGCCATTATTAGGAGTACTCCACCTGGCTAGCCTAGTGCCCTTTCTTGGGTCCTTCATACTTAATACGGGCTTGGACATACAACAGAGCAGTAAGCAAGGCGGCTCAAAGTTATGGATCCAAGCTGTTATTAATGTGGAATAACATTTCTAGGGTAAATTAAGAAGACACTGAACTGTCTCCTTGCCTTACCTCTTTCATCCCTTGTGTTCACATACACATTCTTCATATCTTTCCTGAAAGTATTAGTAGAGAGAATTTGATAAAACATCAAGCGTTTTCCCTGTTGTGATCATTTTATGAATTCTCATAAACTTTTACTCTTGGTGGTGTATGAATGATTTCGGGAGAAAATCGATTTGGTCAGTCTTGGCATGTACCAACAACTGTTTTAATCGTCTCACTCATACATCACATAGTGGCGGGATTATTAACTTTTAAATCTGTGGTTAAAATTCTTTTGTACTTTCATTTCAATGAACAAAAGTTCTTTGGCAGAACGTTTGAGAGGGATTATTTAGTTTTAACTATTTTACAAGACGAAATTGTATTTCTTTGGTGTGATTTCTTTTACTTTCACCGGTAAAAAGAACTGAAAAACGGGTAATATCTATTCAATTTAGCCAACGAGCAGGCTGTCGAGTTGGGATTTCGCGCTACATTCGTTCGGTGTTGCTCATGCGAGATTTTACAACCCTGCAGGGGTGGGTTGGGAGGGTACACTCTAAGAACCCCCATGACCTAAACAAGCGATGAACATTGGCAGGAGAGGATAAAGGGAGACGCTCTATTGTAAAGAGGATTTTGCATGTTAAATTTGATTACTGACTGAAGCTTAAAAAGTTTACATTCCAAAACAGTCGACGACAGTAGGTGTTTGAGAAAACGGAAACTATGATCGGAGCTAAAAACTCACTCATGTTGCATTAATTTTTAGGACCCGCATTAAACACTTATTTCTTTTCACATTATTTTCTTTATGAATTATTTGAGACATTTTTTAAACATATTTTTAGGGCTATAGGTATTCGCAAAAATAGACCAAAACATTTCGATAAATTAAAAACTTGTTAAAATTCATTATTGGCTCCCAGCCTTGGATAACAAAAGAAATCACCTTGCAAAACAGGGATGAATAATACATTTCTTTTGTTTTATTTCTCCAGTCCTCGAAGCCAAGAGTAAATTTTAATTTATCTAAATTGTTGTATTAGGTTTTGAAGATTAAAAAGTACAAAACCTTAATTCTAGTCGAAGACCTTATACCAGCTAAATTAGCCTGCGATCGATCAAAGAAATTTTATTGTTGCTTTTCTATGAACTACCTTGAAAAAAAAATATTTACAAATTTGTACATTATGTGCAACATCAACCGCAAGTAAGAAGTAATTTAGTCCTGTTTTTCCTTGCCAAGTCGCTAAGCCTAATCAGTATTCCGCGCGGTCCATGCGTTTCGGGTGACGTAATCTGAGAGAGTTTCGCCTCGGATAAGTCAACAAAATGCACACTGAATGCATTGAACGAGAAGGCCTGGGAAGATGCCGCACAGCGCGGTAGGGAATGGGGAGACTGCGGGCTCTTCACTGGAAGAAACGCCCAGCATATAACATTCTCCAGTAATGTACAAAACGAACATTTTTGTTACCCACAGCGACACATTTAACCCCAGACAACCCTAAAGACTTTCTACCATATCCAGGAGAAAATGCGTCAAAAAGTAAACTACACACAGCATTTATGTCATTGTTTCTCCGAAGTTCCAGATGTTTACCACGCACTTCTTATTTTCCTTTTTCTATATTCTGCACCTGCATTAATCCTTTGATAATCAGTAAGAAATACTGTCATGAGGTAGGCTAGGTAAAGAGCTAATTTCGTTCACTTCGTTTACTTCAAAATACTAATGGCTTTCCGCTTTTTTGCTCAAGATCTTCTCTTTTGTATTGTTTGTGCCGCCATATTTATACACTGTCTTTATGCTCCCCTGTATAGCTACACTGCTCGATGAGGTCAGTTCAACGTTTTTTCTTTCATAGTACTAAAATAAGAGTATACATTTCTTGCTAGCGTTACTGAATTGGACTTTGACGCTTAAGTAAAGCTTAACCTTGTTGTTTATATTTTTCTCGGTGGGTACAGACGCTGTCATTGGTCAAAGTAGCTCGTGTTTCCTTTTGCATGTTTAAGCCACCCACTTGATATATAGGCGTCCTGCGTGTCAGGATGATTCTCCCGGCTCTTTTCTTTAGCATTTCGCTAGGCGTGACGCGTTTTGAAGATAGGTACGTGGTGGACGGAATAACGCTGTTGGTGGCCTCTGTCCTGTCATCCTTCTAGACATCAGGTTCGTAGCTTAACCTCTTTAAAGGAGGACACAGAGTTCACACATTTACCTTGTACTCTTTTTGTGCTGCCCGGCTTGCATTGAATATTTTTCGTCTTTATTTACATCAAGAGGTCTACTAATTAACCATTGCAAACAAGTACTAAGCCGGAATATCATGGTGTGCTTTTCGCAATTTGTGTACGGAAATCAACATTTGAGTGTCTCAAGTGTGGCATACAAGAAAATAACTGTTTTTCAAAATTTCTAGAGTACTGTTTGATTTTTTGAATATGACAGCAAACTTAAGATTTTTTCACGCCCAAGCCTCTCCGGGTGGCTGCGCATGATAGATCTTCATTTTATGTCTTTCGGATCCTCGGTTTGCGTTTTTGTCGCGAGGGCCGTTTTCATCATCACGACCAGTACCACTTACTGTAGCTACTTTACTCTGGTTCTTTTTCTTTACACTGAAACAGAAAAATCAAAACTCATCTTAAAGAGGCGTTGCACTATTTTTTTTATATAAGAAAGTTGCTTTTCCGGCCAAGGCTGAATATTCCCAGTATTTTTCTGTCGATTTAGCCTGAAAATATTATTGAATTAATATTAAGCTTATGACATTTCCCTTTTAGAATGTATTGGGGTTTCAAGTACCAGTGTCCTTGCCGTTTAGTGAAAGGAATAATTTAAATTGTACTGTATTTACAGATTTTGAAACACAACATTGATTATTTTTCAAATCCTTAGCCTCGGGTTTATTCTTAAAATATATTTTTAAAATTTCGCAAATTTCATCCTCAATATTCTGATAAAATATATTCTTATAGAAAAAGAAAGAGGTCTATTTTTTTTTATTTTGGTTTTACAGATAATAAACAATATTATTATTGGATGAGGTTTTTGTGATCGAGATCCGGTCCGATCCGTTTCGATCAGTTTTTTAGTCCATGGAAGTGTAAGAGACTTTCTCAGATATCTATCACCTCCCTCGAGTAAGCTGTCACTTCTCGCGGACAAAGTTTGTACTGAGTTTTACCCTGTTTGGAACACTTTCACGGATACTCCTTCTCATCCCCTTTACCAAATATTACCCCCTCAGAAACAGAGATTTTTGCGAAACAGAGGACATAAGTTTATTTTACCTGCTGTTAAAACAGAACGCTTTGAGAGATCTTTTATTAATGGGTGTCTTTTTAATTTTATTTAATTGTACTTGATCTTAAATAGATTGCATTGTCATGTATGTAAAGCCACACGTATGTTGTGACTATCCAACTACGAATAAAGACTCTTATGAATAGACACTCTTATTAATATTGATTTGTTTGGCATAAACCTTCGGTTGTCTTGACTCAAGTTGTACACAAAAGCCCATGGGCAAAATTAAAATCTACCATTCGACACCTCAAAAGGAAATAAACTGTCCACTTTAATAACACAACATATGAATTGTTTCGTTTCAAAAGACGTTTTGAAATGTTAAAGATAGCATTTGCAGGGCATGGAACAAGATACCTTCTTCGCCAAACGTGAACTCACACATTAAACTCAGACGATATTCTGCCGATTAATTGCCTCAGTTCTGCAACCCAACAGTGTGTTCAGCTGGTTTTTGTTAATGTCTTCTTCTTTCGACTCTAAATTATTAGTGAATCCTAGTTGAGTGAAGTCGGTATTTTCAAAACAGCCCAAAGAATCCACTCTCTGGAGAGGGCTCAGGAAGTAAAATTTTTTCCCAGTGGAGCGGTGAGGGAAAAAAAAATCCCCAATGAGCATGAGCAGTGATATTTGTAACCTCTGTACATTCGTGACCGGATGTCCGAAATTTTGGACATTCTGTAACAACTGCTTCCAGAGCCCATCGTTTCAAGACCAAGTGACCAAGAAACGACGGGCTCTGGGGACGAGAATGGTCTAAAAGAGTCAGCCATCTCACCCCCTAACCTGTGGGGAGAGAGAGAGAGTCTCTCTCCCTCGCGCCGCCCTCAGGTTAGGCGGGTGAAGACAGCTCACATTTTATGCGAACGCGCAAACATTGACATTTGGGCATTATAATTTCTAAATTAGTAAAAAACACACTTTATTCGAATGTCAATGTGATTAGCGCTAGATTTACTTGGTCATCCGAGGCACCCGAAGGTCTAGCCGTTTGTAGGGCAAAGGTAATACTGCACCTTTGTTCCTCAGTTATTTTAAGACCATGAGTTTGGTACGGCCCCCGGAAACTGTTCAAACACAGTTATGAGCTAATGCCCAGAAGCAAGAATAATAGGTTTACTGGCCACCCACGTTGTGGCGAGTTTGATAATTGAGTGTCTAATAATTGATTGCTGTCATCGGCTAGAAAGACTTTGGCTCACTGTCATCGTATCTGAAACAGGAAAATGTTAGTATGGTGATTTTATGCAATGTTAATATTTCAGCTTACGAGCGTGTTCAAGAAAACTTACTCTTCTGGACCAAATGACTTCTCAACATTGAAATGTTTTCTCCATTTTTTCGTCGGTTTGTTTTCTTTGTGGTGTCTTCAAAAATACTTGAAGCACTGTATGCACAAGGTTAGTTTGGAATTTCAGTCTTGCTCTTCTTCTTTGTCTTCTTGTTCTTGTTCTTTCTTTTATTCTCACAAACAAAGCCACTTAAACCTAGAGAATTACAAAGCACAAAGAAAGATCTTCAATTGAAAAAAGATTCGAATATTTTAGCTAGGAGTATATTAAATTAATTGATGAATTATTAGTAAAAAAAAAAGCGTTTGCTTCCTCATCCTTCATTCTTCATGTCTTGACACCCCAACTCACCTCGGCCTGAGGTTTGCTAAAAAAAGGAGTTTGAAGCCTATTTGTGCTTACTATCTAGAAATTAAAAAATAAGTATCCAAAACCATTTATCTGCATGGCCACGTGTGGAAAACTAAGCGGCAGGTTCAAAATTTTAGTTTTCTGGTTTTTGGCAAGCGTAGATAAGGTAGTTTTCAAGGATTTACACATATTTTAAATCTTGAGGAGGAACAAATCAGTTAATAAATTTTTAGTTGAACTTATCACTTGAAGTTACCCGATTTTTGGCGTGAATTTTAGTCTGTTTCGTGGAATCACATTTTATTTTTTATTAAAATAGAATCGCATTCAACGCACCACTCAAATCATCTTCAAGATGTTTTTGTAAAAGACGAATACCACTTTTTAAACGTCCCTGGAATTGGAACGTTTACAGTGTACGACACCTTTGACTGCACCTTTGAATGCCTCAGCAATCCGTCATGTTTTTCTCTGAACCTGGCCGTCTCCAAAGGAGCCGATGGAAAATTTTGGTGCGAATTGTTGACTTCGAATAAAGACATCAACCCAGACGAATTCAAAGAAAACAAGACTTCTCATCACTTTGCTTTGAAGGTGCGAACATAGTTTGAATTAAATAAGATCTAAATTATTAATTATCCCGTTGTGTCAAGATGAAAAACCTAAGCTAATTACGGATCTCAGAGTTTTAATAGAAAACTGTAAGCCTTATTCAGTAATCAGTAAAAACGTGAAAGCTAAATTTACCGTTAATTTCAGTGGAATAAAGTAAACAGTGACTTATTTTTGTTTCGCCAGGGGCAGACGATAGTATACTATTTCCAGAAATTAAGGCAAACATCAATAAAGCGCTCATCTCTTAAAAGAGGTGAGTCTTAGATTAGACTAGTCTTCTCTGCATCTTAAGGTGGCTGAACACAGTTTTGCGGGAGCGCTCATCTCTTAAAAGAGATGAGTCTTAGATTAGACTAGTCTTCTCTGCATCTTAAGGTGGCTGAACACAGTTTTGCGGGAAGCAAGTGGTAACTCGCGTGAACTAAAGGTGCGTGTTTTAAATTAGACAAACAAATACGGAGGCGAAAAAGTAACCGTACACAGAAGACGATTTCTCAAAATCTACTCGTTAACAATTTGTTATATTTGGCAGAATTTTTCCTTTCATCGTATTTTAAATAATAAGAACTTTAAAATGGAAGTTGAACAGACGAATTTTGTGACACATTTAATAATTACTGTACAATTATATTATTGATTATCTTAAAACCCGTCTGTTAAAATTTGGTCAAATAAGTTTCAAATGGTAATGATTAATAGTAATAAGCTGTGTGCAAGTTTATAGAGTGTTTTCACATGACGTCACGGCGGCCATATTGGTGTCCCAAAACAATGAAACGGCCGCCATGTTGGTGTACCAAACCAATCCTCTGGGAGTTGAACTCTTTTCTTATGCAAACACTTTCTTTTGTTCCAATAAATTTGCATAGATGCTGGCCACGTGAGTGAAAACACTCTATAGGAAAATCTAATGAGCAATTTTGAGGCAAACTGAGCAAAAGTGAAACTTTAGGGTTGTATTCAATTGTTCATGTTGCCATGGAAACTACGAAAGCGTCAAATTTTCCCTGTCAATCAAAACGTTTCAATAGTACAGTTTTCATTTGCCAAGTTTCAGCTTGTGAGCTGCTGCCTTTCTCTTGCCATGATTTAACAAATGATATATAATCACAAACTGCCAAAACTGTGTTCAGCCACCTTAAACGTTGCGTGACGAGACAAAAACGGCTGTGAGGGAGACTGTGGGTGAACTGATCAGATTTGAGCTGAGATTGAAGTTCCCACTAGTGGAAATTGGTGAAAACAAAACTGCAACGTTGCCTGTTTTGTCTCTTCCAGGGTAGGAAGCGGCTGACATCCTGTGTCGAATATGGACGGCAAGGTTTCTACAAAGATGGCATTTATAAGATCTATGATAACGACGGAAACAGTTTCCCAAGCTACTGTGATCTAAAATCCGAGCCCGGTATTGCATGGACTCTGGTCATGTCTTGGAGTAGAGAGAATCGCCTTATTTCTGCTTTTTACAACACCCCACTTCAGATCAATGCCCCAGAGAACGAGACCTCCCCGAACTGGGATCGTTACCGCTTAAGTCTGGAGCGAATGAGATCACTGCAGGTTCACTCCACCCACTGGCGAGCAACATGCAGCTATCCGACTCATGGCATCGATTTCACAGACTACCTCCGCGGCAACTTCAAAGACTTCAACATCGTCGATTTCCTTGGTAATGGCGAGTGTAAGAAGGTAGAATATGTGGATATCCGGGGGCTCAATGGCACGAACCTTACAGCACCGTTTTGGGCGAACTTCGGGGTGGGTTTGTATACTGACAGCTCTATCGATTTCTGCGAGCTAAATGCAACTGTTGGAGCGGTATCGAGTGAAGACAACTTTGGCTCCTATAACGGCATTAATCCCAAGTTCCGCTGCACACAGGAAGACAGCTCTACTACTCAGTGGTGGTTTGGAGCTCAATTTAAAAAATAGTGTCCAGAAAATGAAATTACACAGCTCCCATGTCAGAACGAAGGGGGCCTGCAAATTGTACCACCTTTATAAACAGACGAAATGCATTCACTATCAGTTAATTAGTAGATTTAAATTGTTAGAGATGTACAGCCTTAAGATTAGAAACTCTTCTTTTTCGTTTATAACAGTGATTTTATTTTATAACTGTGAGGAGAAAGGCAAATTACAAGATTACATGCGGAACTACAGCCCGCAAAACCGTGGCACAAGTGAGGCCCACAAGTTTATTAGCTTTTAGCTATGTAGTGTTTTACTAAATAAAATGTTCACTTGCTCACTTCACATATCACCTAGTTTAGCAATTTGAATCCCTTTTACCTACTGTTTGTGCACTATGTTTTAAGTACTGTTCAAAACACTAGCAGGAGTGTATGCAGATACTCTCTTTTGTTTATCAGTAGTCACGCAGACTGTTAACCCCCCTTCCCCCCCGTTTCAGTGAATATTTCAATTGTAATCTTTCATTCAAATCTTTATGTAGCCTCAATTAATACCACCCAATATGGCTTACGCTCCCTGAAATTCACTGGTCCTCGCCTTTGGAACTCCTGTAGAATATTTCGTAAAACGGCCCTTAAAAACTCTATCCTCAATTGTTATTCTAATTAATTATCTACCTTAGCGCATGAAGAAATACTTTTGGAATTAAAAAAAAAAACCATATTCTTAATTCTGTCTGTAATTGTATTTTATTGCAGGGGTCATCCACTAGATTAGCCTTCTGCTATTTGGATGATCCATTGTTGTTGCATTTTTCTTTTATTCCTTAGTTGTACTGTGTTTAGTTGCCTATGTAAATTTACCCTTTATGTCATGTAAAACTGAGCTGAGTTTAATAAATCATCTTGTCTTGTCTTGTATTATCAGGTTTAAAAAGTTTAATAATTTTGGTCTAAAAATTGGACGAAAGTTTAGCCCACGTGTCTTTATCAGATACAATAACACTCATTAAAAATTAATTTCTTGTTTTTTTTTCTTTATGAAGTATTAATTAGTTTTTGAAATAATGAAGACAACCAAACCGGGAATTTTCTCAACTTTTTCATAGCCATAAAACCTTTTGTCAGCCTTTTTAGACCCTTTTACAGACCGAAACGACAGCTTTCCCTATCCTCTTATATAAACAGTCAGCTAGTGAAATCCCTCGGGCGGAGCTTCCCCGTATAGGCCATTATATGGAGTACTCCACCTGCTTTAGTGCCCTTTCCTGGCTCATTTATTTATACTTAACCGGCTTGGGAAACTTTAAAAAAAAAAGAAACACAACAGGGCGGTAAGCAAGGTGGTTCAAAGTTACGGATCCAAGCTATCATTAATCTGGAATAACATTTCTAGGGTAAATCAAGTAGATACTGAACTGTCTCCTTGCCTTACCTCTTTAACCCCTTGTGTTCACATATTTATTCTCCATATATTTCCTGAAAGTATTAGTAGAGAGAATTGGACAAAACATCAAAGCGCTTTCCCTGTTGTGATCATTTTATGAATTCTCATAAACCTTTCTCTTGATGGTGTATGAATGATGTCGAGAGAAAATTTGGTCAGTCTTGGCATGTACCAATTCAAAGTAGACAGACTGCAAATTATATTAGCGGCTGAAAAATGTATATCTACGTGTCGCAAGTGTTCATCAGTAGGATACCTAAAATGCGTGCAATTCCACAATTGGTTTCGGCTCCATTAAATCCTATACCAATTGCAGAACATTTTAGGAGGAACCACCCACCATGTGAGCACAGTCAAGGACAACACGTAAAAGTGAGGACAATAACGCAAAGTAAAATTAAGACGTTAATTAACGAACTTAATGTACACAATCAAATAAATAAACAAATAATGCGCGCGCTCAAAATAAAATTGTACGCGCACACGTACCGAGTACAACTGAAATACAACACTAACCAATAAATAAGTAATGTAAGGATACATCGCATTGTGGTGGGATTATTAACTTTTAAATCTGTGGTTAAAATTCTTTTGTACTTTCCTTTCAATGAACGAAAGTTCTTTGGCAGAACGTTTGAGAGGGATTATTTAGTTTTAACTATTTTACAAGACGAAATTGTATTTCTTTGGTGTGATTTCTTTTACTTTCACCGGTAAAAAGAACTGAAAAACGGGTAATATCTATTCAATTTAGCCAACGAGCAGGCTGTCGAGTTGGGATTTCGCGCTACATTCGTTCGGTGTTGCCCATGCGAGATTTTACAACCCTGCAGGGGTGGGTTGGGAGGGTACACTCTAAGAACCCCCACGACCTAAACAAGCGATGAGCATTGGCAGCAGAGGATGAAGGAAGACGCTCGATTGTAAAGAGGATTTTACATGTTAAATTTGATTACTGACTGAAGCTTAAAATGTTTACATTCCGAAACAGTCGACGACAGTAGGTGTTTGAGAAAAAGGAAACTAAGATCGGAGCTAAAAACTCACTCATCTTGCATTAATTTTTACGACCCGCATTAAACACTTATTTCTTTTTACATTATTTTCTTTATGAATTATTTGAGACATTTTTTAAACATATTTTAGGGCTATAGGTATTCGCAAAAATAGACCAAAACATTTCGATAAATTAAAAATTTGTTAAAATTCATTCTTGGCTCCGAGCCTTGGATAACAAAAGAAATCACCTTGAAAAACAGGGATGAATAATATATTTCTTTTGTTTTATTTCTCCAATCCTCAAAGCCAAGAATGAATTTTAACATATCTAAATTGGTGTATTAGGGTTTGAAGATTAAAAAGTACAAACCTTAATTCTAGTCGAGGACCTTATACCAGCTAAATTAGCCGGCGATCGCTCAAAGAAATTTTATCGTTGCCTTTTATTAGTAACTATGAACTATCTTGAAAAAAATATATATATTTACAAATTATGTGCAACATCAACCGCAAGTAAAAAGTAATTTATTCCTATTTTTCCTTGCCAAGTCGCTAGGCCTAATTATTCCGCGCGGTCTATGCGTTTCGGGTCACGTAATATGAGAGAGTTTCGCCTCAGATACGTCACCAAAATACATTGGACGAGAAGGCCTGAGGAGATGCCTCACAGGTACTAGGCACTATTTTCCCTTCAACGCGGTAGGGAATGGAGAGGCCGCGGGCTCACCACTGGAAGAAACGCCCAGCATATAACATTCTCCAGTAATGTACAAAACGAACATTTGTTTAACCCACGGCGACACATTTAACCCGAGACAACCCTAAAGACTTTTTTCCATATCCAGGAGAAAATGCGTCAAAAAGTAAACTACACACAGCATTTATGTCATCGTTTGTCCGAAGTTCCAGATGTTTACCACGCACTTGTTCTTTCCTTTTTCTATATTCTGCATCTGCATTAATCCTTTGATAATCAGTAAGAAATACTGTCATGAGGTAGGCTAGGTAGAGAGCTAATTTCGTTCACTTCGTTTACTTCTAAATACTAATGGCTTTCCGCTTTTTTTCTCAAGATCTTCTCTTTTGTATTGTTTGTGCCGCCATATTTATACACTGTCTTTGTGCTCCCCTGTATAGCTACACTGTTCGATGAGGTCAGTTCAACGTTTTTTCTTTCATAGTACTAAAATAAGAGTATATATTTCTAACCTGAGATCAGGCTCTATTTTCGTTTCGCTTTGTAAATAACATTCCGGCGGGCACGGCGAAACGAAAAGAGAGCCTGATACAAACCTTCTACGAAACGTCTGCCGCCCACTTTTTTGATTGATTGACATTTGCCGAATCAGCCAACCAAAATTACTTCCGTAATTCACGCGTGGGAAAAATGCAGAATGGCTGACTTAAAAAATAGCTTTTATCTGTTATTTTTTTCAGCTGAAAATAAAACAGCGCAATCACATTTAACTTCTTGCGAGATTAAGGGAGATCTCGAAGGTTATTTCTGTTGGCGTAGAAGGTAAAAAGTTTTCGAAAAGACGGCGACACGATTTTCTACTAGTTTTATTATTTTGGCTAGGCGCGCTCGAATTTAAAATACTGAAATTTCTATTTTTCCGTTGCCTTAATATTTTCCTCGGCAATTTCCCCCGATTTTCAGTACATAAATCTTTAAAAACAAAAGCAAACAGCCAAGGAGCGAGGACACCAGTTTTCCTGGTTTATTTTTTACAAAAAGCGAAGGTAAACAGCCAGTCTGTTAACCCTGAAAATTCCTTGAACAGCGATGCGATGTTTTTCGTCTAATACCTCACAGTTGGCGATTGAGGTTTCTTTCGCAGTGAGTCTCCGCTTGCGTGCCCCGTTCAGAAACGTCATTCCCGGCTAAACTTTCAAATGAAACCAGTTTTAAAGATGGACAGTATTTTGATTTGCACCCGCTTGTTGGTAAATCAAAGGCACCTTGTTACCGGTCAGCAACTTGCAGAGGGATTCAACTCCTCGATACACTCACTTTCCATAAAAAAGCAAATCCTGAGAAGATATGAACAGCCATATGAATTTTCTGAATTTCCATGGCACATATTAAGGCATATTTTCCTACCATAAGACCATAAAACAATACAAAAAGACAGCAAAATCGATCCTTCTCTCCGCCGACGACGGATCATTCACGAAAACAACCACGCGAGGAATAAGCGCTTTCAACTTCCGGCGTTTCCGACAGCCCATTAGATCTTGTGGCATTGTCCTAACAGCCAATCAGCGTTACGGCCAAAATCTGGCCGTAACGAGCACAAACGTGAATGAGTTTGTATCAGGCCCAATTTTGCGGTAGCCGTTAGAGAGAATGTATGAGAACCGCTCAAATTGGGCCTGATCTCAGGTTAATGTATTTCTTGCTTCCGTTACTGAATTGCAATTTGACGCTCAAGAAAAGCTTAACCGTGTTGTTTATATTCTTCGCAGTGGGTATAGACCCTGCCATTGGTCAAAGTAGCTCGCGTTTTCTTTTGCATGTTTAAGCCACCCACTTGATATATAGGCGTCCTGCGCGTCAGGACAATTCTCCG